CCCCATTCTATGTTCTACGTTCAGACCATTTTGTGGGCTCAAAGTTGAATTTTACTCTTGGGCACTTTTTGGCAGCATTCACGCACCTTTTTTGTTCTGAGACAAGGTGCGCATGGAGACATTTGCATGCAGCAATGCTACACGCAAGCAAGCAGCCCACGGCTGCAAACAACACATGCCACCAAGCCCAAACAGCCATCGTTGGTTTCTTTCCATTTCCCACTTTGTGCATGAAAATGCAGAATGTGTAAAGCAGGCCTTGGCCTGTAGAAACACGAGTCCTTGTAGCAGCACCTCAAAGAGCTCGCTGGCATAAGCTTTCCTCCCACCCACCCCAGAGAGCCTGACCCACTGCCCCAGAAGCTCAGGCGCGTCTCCTAACAACGGACCCCCCAACCAGCTTCTCTGCATTTTCCACTCATATCTTCCGCTTCTGCCTCCATTTTCTGCCTCCCAGGATCTTTGTCAACTAGAACTGTCGGCTGATTAAAGGATTTTTAGACTGCCAACTAAAAAACTGCTTGGCTTCCAGACGTCCCCAAGCTGGTGCCCTTTGTGTATTTTGGACAAAAGCCCCAGCCAACACAGGCAGGTTAATATATTTGAGCACATTTGTGTATAACACAAAACCTCTTCAGAATTAGTTGTTAAACTGCCTCTCATTGGCCTGGTTCACCCAAGACACGAAAACATGCTTTATTAAGCTATGATTTCCTAAAGGCATGTCTTAGGATTATGTGTGAATTTTACCTGACAACTTAAGTATGGTATGTTTACTGCCCACAAACCACCATGTGAAGATATGGTTTGTTTTTGGCTGACAAATCTTTACTTTCAACAGCTGCTTTGAGTTATGTGCCAGTCCAACATCCTTCCTTAACCATGGTTTGTTCAGCAACCCCGTCCAAAACAAAGCTACAAAGGCATGAAGGAAAAGCAGATGGACAACTAGTCATTACTTTGGAGAAAGAATGGTCCTTTTTTAATTAAAATGTTAGCCGTTAAACAAACCATGGCTTAGAATTATGTGTGAACCAGGCCAATAAAGCAAAGATCATCTGTTTTAAACACTGATTGGGAGCCGCCCAGAGTGGCTGGGGAAACTCAGCCAGATGGGTGGGGCATAAATAACAAATTATTATTATTATTATCTTTAATATTTTTCTTCCTCTCACTTCCCGTACAGTTAAAAAAAGGACCAAAATAACGTATAAATAAAAAGAAGTATGGCCTTAAGGCTCAAGTACACTAAGATCTGATCATGCCAATTAATCAACTGATGCTTTTTTTCACTTCGTTTGCGGATTAAAAGCTGTTATGTGAAATCAGTCTTCTCTTCGTGCCATATTGCAGTACCAAAACAAAACAAAGGAACTGCTTGTTAAAAACAAAGGTGTTAATTGATTGATTCTCCCACCCAAATCAGCCCGAATTTCACAGGAATATCACAGCCTATAAAATGCATTTGGGGCAGAGAGAAATGAAGCATTCTCTCTCTCTCTATCCTCACCACCACTAGGTCTTTTCCTACCCTCTCTGTGCCAACCTGGCCCCCCTACAAATATCTCCCCAAAGGCAAAGACAGGAGTCCGGAGCAAGGAGCAGGCGAGAGATCAAAGAGGAGCAGGAATCAAAACCAGCAGGAATTTTGCTCAGAGGTAGGAGCCAAGGCAAATGGGTTTGGGCAGAAAGGCCCCGTGGTGTCCAAGGCTGTATTGCACCAAACACAGTGTCACTGGGAAAGGGGCAAAGGGGAGCAGGTTCGTGGGCAAGGGAGCCACTCATCGCCCACTGTACGCCTGCCTACTTGAAGCAGGAGGCGGCAAAAGGTTGATAATATATCAGGAAAAAGGCAGGGCAGCACAAGGCAGGAAGTATGGAACAGCTCCCAGAAAGCTGTTAAGAGATGCAGCAGCTGCAGAAAAGGGAAATGTTTGGACTATAGGATGGGTGGTTAGGGTGAAAGAGAGGAAGAGGAATATACAGGTGCTCCCCTCCATCTTGTGCAACCCCCCCCCCAGAACCCCCTTTCCAAACTCATTGCCTAGCTCTAGCTCACACTGAGGTCCCTGTATTAAACAACACAATCTAAACCAGGGCTTGCAGGATCTTCTAAAGCCCCAAGATCCATCAAGCATAGCCTGACGCAAAGGGAAGCAGACTCGGAATTAAAAATAAGTTTGAGTCAAAGAGCTTCCTATGAGCACCAGAATCTGATGGTGTCCGCGGATTTTCCGCAAAAAAAAAAGCAATTCCGAGATTCCTTCATCTCAGAAGCACAATTTGGGGCAGGAGGGGTGGCGCTTTGCTGGTGTGCTTAAACCATCGGGGCCCCAGAAATCCCGTTGCAAAATCAACCAGAGATCTGCTAGTAGAGTGGCTGGGGAAACCCAGCCAGATGGGTGGGGTATAAAATAATAATAATAATAATAATAATAATAAAATAATAATAATAAAATAATAATAATAATAATAATGCAGATCTGCACCCCTGATCGAGAAGCAACCACTCTGCCCCTCACACCTGGTTCTACAGATTTTGGGCAAAACACCTTTTCAAGAAGCCTGGCAAGAGAAACTGGAAGAAAATGGAGGGCACCTGGTACCATGGTACTGCTATGAGGAAGAGGGGGAGAGGAGGGAAAACAGGGATGCTGGAAGCAGAAAGCGGGCACAAGAGACCCCCCCATCCCACCCTCTGTGCGCCCCCTTTTATTGGCCATGTGGCAAACTGCAGGTGGGAGGGAAAGGTTGAGGAGGCAGGAGGCTGGCTGGATCAGGAGGGCAGGTGTACACCTTAGATATACCCTACCCCTAGTAATAATAATAATATAATAATTTATTATTTATACCCCGCCCATCTGGCTGGGCTTCCCCAGCCACTCTGGGCGGCTTCCAACAAAATATTAAAATACAGTAATGCATCAACAACCTCAGATATGCAGATGACACAACCCTGATGGCAGAAAGTGAGTAGGAATTAAAGAACCTTTTAATGAGGGTGAAAGAGGAGAGCGCAAAATATGGTCTGAAGCTCAACATCAAAAAAACGAAGATCATGGCCACTGGGCCCATCACCTCCTGGCAAACAGAAGGGGAAGAAATGGAGGCAGTGAGAGATTTTACTTTCTTGGGCTCCATGATCACTGCAGATGGTGACGGCAGTCACGAAATTAAAAGACGCCTGCTCCTTGGGAGAAAAGCAATGACAAACCTAGACAGCATCTTAAATAGCAGAGACATCACCTTGCCAACAAAGGTCTGTATAGTAAAAGCTATGGTTTTCCCAGTAGTGATGTATGGAAGTGAGAGCTGGACCATAAAGAAGGCTGATCGCCAAAGAATTGATACTTTCGAATTCTAGTGCTGGAGGAGACTCTTGAGAGTCCCATGGACTGCAAGAAGATCAAACCTATCCATTCTGAAGGAAATCAGCCCTGAGTGCTCACTGGAAGGACAGATCCTGAAGCTGAGGCTCCAAGACTTTGGCCACCTCATGAGAAGAGAAGACTCCCTGGGAAAGACCCTGATGTTGGGAAAGATGGAGGGCACAAGGAGAAGGGGACGACAAAGGACGAGATGGTTGGACAGTGTTCTCGAAGCTACCAGCATGAGTTTGGTCCAGGGGGTCACGAAGAGTCGGACACGACTAAACAAAAAACAAACAGGGCTGCCTTTAGATGTCTAGTGCAATCACAAAGGGTGCTGTGGTACCCAGAAGACTGCTCAGTTTATTGCAGGACCCGCTTGCGAAAGCTCACAATCTCCCCACAATAACATCACGTGGCGAGGTACCTTGGATGCATCTTCGTGGAGAAGGCAGAGCATCCATTTAACAAAGGAAGGAACGCTTTGGGGAGTTTCTGTCAGGGGGAAGCTACCAGCGCCAGAGAGCAGCATAGCTTTCTAGTTTAAAAAGAAAACAAGCAAGCCTAATAGCAGGTGAGAGGGAGAGAGTTGTACTGCAACCTGCCCTGGAACCTTAGGGCAAAGAGCAGGTAATAAATTAATAATAGTAATAGTCAGTGCTTTTTCCCCCTATAAAAAAAGGTTTAGGGGTACTCTCATTAAATCACCATTTTATAGTTCAAATCAGGGAAAATAAATACAGTAAATGGACATAAGTACAAAGATTCACAAAATGTTTAGGAGTACCTGTACCCCCGGAGAAAAAAATTGGTAATAATAATAATAATAATAAATTTTTATTTATATCCCGCCCTCCCCAGCCGAAGTCGGGCTCAGAGCGGCGAACAAGTAAAATAATACAAGATTCTAAAATCATTTCATTATAAAATCAGTTCAAATAGTAGTAATACCTGACATTCAGAAGACTTCTTAAGGCAACCCTGTTCAGGGAAGTTTTTAATGTATGATATTTTAGTGTTTTTTGGTTTCTATGGAAGCTACCCAGAGTGGCTGGGGAAACCCAGCCAGATGGGCGGGGTACAAATAATAAATTATTATTATTATTATTATTATTATTATTATTATTATTATTATTGTTATTATAACAGTAGCATAAATACAGAGGCTTAAAGCTGCATTAAGAAGCACGGGGAAGAGCTAGAGAAAGGAGGAATCACAACGGCAGGCGTTAGCAGGATCCAACCTAGTTACCCCCTCCCTTTATAATAAAAACACACATACACAAAACCTGGTAAAGACAAAACGAGACCAGGGTCCTCTGAAGCACGTGGCTGCTGTCAGGTCGCCCCTTAGCCTTGATACTCAACCCCCCCCCACAAAAAAACCCCACAAATCAAACTTTGATTGCAAACTCCTGCGGGGCAGAGACCCTTTTCCCAGACGCTTATTGCTACCGTTACCCCTTAATAGCGCAGACACGTGAACGCTGGCGATCCAAGGCAGCTGAACGTGTGAATGAGCAGACACGTGAACGCTCGCCATCCAAGGCAGCTGACCGTGTGAATGCGATCGGGGGCGAGCAAGGGGGAGGGGGGGAGGAGGAGGAGGAGCAAGGGGTTCGGTGCACTCACGGCTGGTGCGGCGGAGGGGTCGGCGGCGTGGCCGGCCGCGTCCTTCCTGCTCGAGCCTCTCTCCCACCCGGAGAACCAGAGCTCGGAGACGCCCCGCCCTCGCCGACGCTCATTGGCCCGGGCAACAAAGAGGGCGAGGCTCTTCTCGATTGGCCGCCGCCGAGAGGCCCTTCGGCCAATGGCGGGCGGGGGAACGGGGCGGGGGAGGCGGGGCCCGGAGGAAAGGCGGGGGTGGGGCGAGGGGGCGGGGCGGGGCCGAGGCGGGAAAGGCTCGGCCAATGGCAAAGGCGGGAAATGTTGCAGGGCGGGGCGGGGCCGTTCGCGTGTGCGGCTGCACGTGGGAATGGAGCGCGCGGGATGCGAAAAGGACAAGACAGTACAACAACCCCTGACTCTTTTCCGCGTTGATCTGCCGGCCGGGAGCGTCCCCGCTCTGTTACTGCACCTTCTGCCGCAGGGCGCTTCGCGGGGTCCAAACAAAGCCAGGCTGGATTAGTCAGTTGTTGTTGTTGTTGTATATTTTATCCTCGGGGGCGGGGGTTGTTTGAGCAGGAACATGGGGGAACTGAGTTCTCCCTTTGCCTTTTCTAAATTAAATAATTCCTCCACCAACACCACCCGGAAGGGCTGAAACAGGATATGCACCCAATGCCTGAGCCAAAAACCCACCTATAATAATAATAATTAAATAAAAAATAATAAATTTTATTTATACCCCACCCACAGGGCGGCTGAACACCAATAAAATCACAGTAAAAACATAATAGGGGGAAAGGAAAAAAACAACAACCCCAATTTAAAATACAGGTTAAAATGCAATTTAAAAGGCAGTCTCATTTTAAAAGTAGCCCATAGATCAAGACCATAAGGGGAGGGAAACATAAGGGTCAGACTGAGTCCAAACCAAAGGCCAGGTGGAACAGCTGTGTCTTGCAGGCCCTGCGGAAAGATGTCAAGTCCCGCAGGGCCCTGGTCTCTTGGGACAGAGCGTTCCACCAAGTCGGGGCCAGTGCTGAAAAGGCCCCACTATATCCGTAGTGGCCATTTCTAATTCAGATCGTTATCTGCTTGAGTTTATTCATCACACATTTAGTCGCTGCATGAACCTTGTGGTGAGTTCCTCCACCATATTTCCAGAAAAAACGCTGTTTATTACGGTATTATTACTACCAATTTCGATATTTATTAAATCTGCATACTGCCCTTCTTCCATAGATCTCAGAATGGTTCACAGCATAAAAATATAAGATGTAAACACAAAATGCACACACACACACCCGGCTCCATACGCATCATTCCAGCAGCTAAACCTGCAATCTTAGCACTGTAAACATCACACTCAGTTGGTTAAACTGAGCTATGGCAAGCAAGACCTAAGAACCAGCAGAGGTGCCCCTGAAGCACCAGGTGCGCAGCCTGGGAGTCATTTTGGACTCACAGCTGACCATGGAGGCGCAGGTCAATTCTGTGTCCAGGGCAGCTGTCTCCCAGCTCCATCTGGTACACAGGCTGAGACCCTCCCTGCCCGTGGACTGTCTCGTTAGAGTGGTGCATGCTCTAGTTATCTCCTCTTGGACTTCAATGCGCTCTATGTGGGGCTACCTTTGAAGGTGACCTGGAAACTACAAGTAATCCAGAATGTGGCAGCTAGACTGGTGACTGGGAGCGGCCGCGAGACCACCTCCATCGTTCTTCCCGGACACTGAGGTCCAGCTCTGAGGGCCTTCTGGCGGTTCCCTCACTGTGAGAAGCCAAGTTGCAGGGAACTAGGCAGAGGGCCTTCTCAGTGGTGGCACCCGCCCTGTGGAACGCCCTCCCACCAGATGTCAAAGAGAAAAACAACTACCAGACTTTTAGAAGACATCTGAAGGCAGCCCTGTTTAGGGAAGCTTTTAATGTTTAATAGGTTATTGTATTTTAGTGTTTTGTTGGAAGCCACCCAGTGTGGCTGGGGAAGCCCAGCCGGATGGGCGGGGTATAAATAATAAATTATTATTATTATTATTATTATTATTATTATTATTATTATTATGGGAATGATCCCAGTGCTTCTGCTAGCTGAGAGCTAGCAAAGCAGTCCTAGCTAGAAGCTGATCCAACAAAGAAGGAAGTGAAAAAGAGTGAGGTGTGCTGCGTGACTCCTTTTGTTACCTGGACAGGTAAGGTCACGCCCACCTATCACATGCAAAAGGAAGGATGATCCAGCCAGGAAGAACAGGAAGTTTCGACTGGCTGGACCAAACATTCCCTCGCATGTCTTCTCTAGCATTACAAGGAATGTTGTACTTGACTGCTCCCAGTGTTGGTTTCTATTTCCCTTACTGAGCAGAAAAATGCTTGTCACAAGACAATGTTTACATTCCACAGTTCAGAGTTACTGTTGGGTTCCCATGGGAATGGGAGACTGGATGTGACGTTCACTGGTTTCCTGTTTTTCAGTGTTCTCTCGGTTTCTTTGTGTCGAGAGGAGTTGCTTCTCTGCTCTCACAGAGGCAAGATGTGTGTTTGTATGCTCTCAGCATAGCTTGTAAATAAATTTCAGCATGTGGCACGTTACCTGCTTATCCTTTCATTGCGGGACTACGCTCTGCTTGGGCTCAAGATAAGACGAGCCTGTACCAGCTTCAGATGGGCCGGAGCTGGTCAAATCTCACACCCAGTGGATTACCATACATCCCATAGCTTTAGCTGTGATCCCTGCATTGAAGGGGTTGGACTCGATGACCTTCAGGCTCCCTTCCAACTCTACCGTTCCAATTAATCTATAAAAATGCCCCCATGTCAAGCGTTGTTGTGACGACGGTCTGCCTCTGCAGCCAGTCACCGAAATGTGCTTTGTGCAACCCCATGCCACCCCACCACACTTGAGAAAATAAATTTGTCTCCCAGAAGCGGCAAGGAGCGATCTGTTTTCTGCTCCCGGCAGCCCAGAATAACTTGGGTAATCTCATCAGAATCCATAATTCACTAATGGATGGTCTGTAGCTGAGAGAGGGGTCTTGTTTCTTCGTCCCATTAGTCATCAACAGCCTTGGTCTCCTGCTTCCTTTGCTGGGCCCGATTTCTTTGCCCTTCACGGGGAGCCAGGAGCTTGGGTTTCGCCATGGTGCCTCCCCAGAGATCAAGGAACACAGAGCAAATGAGATGATATGAGATACAATCTATGGGAGCAAATGGCACCTGGGGTTCTGGAAACAAGGCTCCAGTCACGCAGAAGGCAGAAATCAGGATAATGATCCCTCGTCACCCTGGGGGAAAGTGACAAGTAGGGTGCTGCAGGGTTCTCTCCTGGACCCAGTGTTCGGCGTCTTTATAAATAATTTGGACAAAGGAATTGAGGGGATGCTCATCAAATCTGACAATGATACAAAACTCGGAGGGATAGCTAATGCCTCAGAAGACAGAATCGGGGTTCAAGATGACGGTAACAGATTGGAGAACCGGGACCAAACTAACAAAATGAGGAATGGCAGATGAAGATGATGGACTTTTGGAGCTGGCCGACCTGACTGGAAGAATCCGTGATCAGAAAGAAGAGGCGACACAAGAGGACTGGATGAAATTTAAAGAATATTTAGCTAAATATTGTGGTATAAGATAAATAGAAAATCCTTGGATATATCAAATAGGCTTAGGGGTAGAATAGGAAAAGGTGTTAGTAAGTATTAAGGATTAGAATAATAGTAAAGGAGAAGAGGTTAGTAAATGAAAGGAGTTAATATTATTAGAAATATGAATGTGGAGAACTGTTATAAAAGTGATATAATGAAATTCAATTAGAGGGGATTCGAGGAAGTCACCTATTAATGTGAAGAAGTTGGGTGCTAGAAGAACAAATCTTTTTTGTATGTGTTTAGTTTATTGCTATGTTGGCTTTGTTGAGTGTTTTTATGTTTTTATCTGTTTATGTGATGCTGAAAACGTTGAAAATCAATAAAAAAAATTGAGGAAAAAACAAACTAACAAAATGAATTTCAACAGGAACAAATGCAAAGTTGTACACTGAGGAAGGAAGAACCAGCTGCACAAATATAAGATGGCGGACACCTGGTTTGCCAGTAGTACATGTGAAACTGTTCTAGGGGTCGTAGTAGACCAGGAGCTTAGCATAGGTCAACAGTGTGATGATGCAGCAGCAGCAGCGGCAACAGCAAAAAATAAACAAAAGCTAATGCTATTCTAGGTAAAAGGTAAAGGACCCCTGGATAGTTAAGTCCTGTCAAAGGTGACTATGGGGTTGCGGCGCTCATCTCGCTTTCAGACTGAAGGAGCCAGCGTTTGTCCACAGACAGCTTTCCGAGTCATGTGGCCAGCAGGACTAAGCCGCTATTGGCGCACGGAGGACCGTGATGAGTGCCAGAGCGCACAGAAACACCATTTTCCTTCCCCCCCACAGCGGTACCTATTTACTTGCACTGGCATGCTTTCGAACTGCTAGGTTGGCAGGAGCTGGGACAGAGCAACGGGAGCTCTCTCCGTCACGGGGATTTGAACCGCCAACCTTCTGATCAGCAAGCCCAAGAGGCTTAGTGGTTTAGACCACAGCACCACCCGTGTCCCCTATTCTATAATGCTATTCTCGGCTGCATCAACAGAAGTTTAGGGCTCAGTGAAGTAATAGTCCCACTCTATTGGCCTTGGTCAGACCCCACCTAGAGTCCAGTGTCCAGTTCTGGGCACCACAGTCTAAGAAGGATGTTGAGCAGCTGGAAGGTGTTGCAGAGGAGGGCCACCAAGACAAACAAGGGTCAGGTAACCAAGCCATATGAGGAACGGTTGAAGGAGCTGGGTATGTTTAGCTTTGCCAGCCTACGATTCCCAGCAACAGGCATTCAGAGGCAGGACACCTCTGGCAGTGGGGGGGAGAACATGCCCATTGTGGCTAGTATCCATTGACAGCATTCTCCCCGTGTATTTGCCTAAAGCATCGAGAGAGCCCTAGCTTGGGAGTGCTGTTCCAAAGTCCTTTGGAGCCCTCTCCTGCTGCTAGAGTGCTCCAAATAAAAGAGAGGAGGAACAAGAAGGATTAACTGTTTTAATGCTGAAAAATCTTCAGACAAGCCCCTATGCAAAGAAACAACACGATTGTACAGAAACCCCGGCCCGTGA